TTCCAATACAAAATTCCAACACTTATAAATATTCTGCTTCGAGATGGATTTTTCTACTGCTTGCAACCTTCCGCATCAAAATTACTACCCTTTATTTGAAGAAATCAAGATATAACTCATTAGCATATAAGATTTTGAGCTTTTGTTTATGAAGTAGCAGAAGCTTATTGGAAAAGAACAAAATCCCATGATAAATTCTAATGTATTGATTTGAAATAGCAAATGCCAAGAGTGAGTAATTTTTTTTGAGAAACTTCTCGAAGACTGTGTGATTCAAAATTCAACTAATTACCATAAGGCTTATAACTCGTATTTAAAGCACGAAATAAAATATGGATCATTAACTAAACTCATAGATAACGACTAACTCTATATAGCTATAAGAAGTAAATGTAACAACTAACTCTAAGTGGGATTAAAATTGTAATATAATCAACATTAAGAAAATTATATAGAATAACCAAAAAAAAAACATTTTTGGAGCCCTGAACGATGAATTTAGGTAAAAATGGGGATTGTACGTCATGGGCAGAGCAAATTAATTTGGGCCGCTGGGTCATTTTCATTCAAAGTAGATACAAAATTCTCCGAAAATAGATATTTCAAAAATCTTTTTGATCCTGTTCTCACTTTCCATGAAATATTCTTCATTGTGTATTGCTTCAGGGTAGAGGTAAGCTGTTACTCAAGCTGAATCCGAACTCCATATCCATTTCTTCCCTCATTCAAAATCTATCATCAAAACTTATAATAAAGACTACAACAAACAAAGAACCTTTTCAAACAAATTTAGAGTTGGCAATGTGTTTTTTTTTTCCTACGAGTACATCGTTTGGTATTTGCTAGATAAAAATATTTGAAACAACTAGATCTTGATAAGACAAGGACAATATGAATTGAGCGTGTTTCCAATTCCACGTATTACAATTGTTAGATCCAAATTGGATTGACTAGTTCTATGTAGGGGTGAGCATGAGTTGGGTTGTGTCAGTTTTTGCCTCAACCCAAACCCAACCCAACATGATCGGTTTGATCAAAATTTAACCCAACCCAACACATGTAAAGGTTGACACACAACCCAACCCAATAAAGTATAGGCCGGGTTGAGTTGGTCGGTTTGGGATAACTTGTGAACAAAGATTAAAGTAGACGGGTCGGGTTGGACGGATTTATAATTGACTCATGACTTGTATAATTTTAGGTCTCTATAGTTGCAATGACCCAAAAATCAGAATTAATTTGGCACTTCATGCCCGAAAATATTACATGCACAGTTTGATATTAAATTATATGAAGCCAAGAAATATTTTTGGCAATTAAAATGTTTTT